ATGGTTAAAAGAGAGGAAAATGAACCATTAACAACTGATAAATATAGGTAAAGGATTAAAAAAAAGATTTTAAAAAAAACCCTCAGTGCAAACTATTTCTTAATTACTTCACCAAACATTTTTTGCCATGACCTTGGATAACTTTATGCTTATAAGCATAAACTGTGCTGCTTAATGTGCTAAATTAGATTGAAATCTTTAAAAGCATCATAGCAAGAAAATTGCTCTGCAAAGCTTTTTAGACATAAAAGAACTTCTAATTTGTGTAGGGGTATAAGTAAAGATACGGTAAAGTGGGAGAGCAAGCCACAAAATAATAAGAATGCTTTCCTGGGAGTCAGAAACCCTTTGAGTCTAGCACTTAAGACTAGAGATGTCATTCTCCTTATTTGCAGAGCAGGGCTAATGGTATAAGTTTCATCAGCCTGCTGTACAGGTACAGGAAAAACAGGATGTGAGAAGGATTTATAAACTGGAAATGGATATGCAAGTGAAAGGGTTTATAATTATCATGACATGTTGATGTCCTATTAGCAGTGGTTCTCAAACATCATACACATAACAAGTAAATGGGCAGCTTGTTACAAGTGTACATTCCAATCCCACCTCAGAGATCCTGATTCATTAGGTCCAGGACGGGGTCCAGAATTTGCTTTGTGAAAGCACCCCAGATTCTCTGGTGCTAGTGATCTGAAAGCCACACTTAGAAAACTGCCTTGGAGGAGTTTAGAGTGATCTAAATCCTTGCTATACATCAGTTAGTCCATGGACAAGCAATATCACCATCACCTGGGAGCTTGTTAGGAATGCAAAATTCACCCCATCACAGATTTTCTAAATCAAAATCTGCATTGTAATGAGACAGCCAGGTGATTCCTATGCATACTAACATTGCAGAAACGCTAATCTAAACGGCAAACCTGATTGATGATCTCTTTTTTGCCTTGGTCACTGGTTCTCAGCTTACTATCAGACAGAATTGGGGTTGCCATCTTAGCTGTTGCTGACACTTACAACCTCACTTAGCACTTCTCTCTGCTTTTTTTGCTTCAGTCTCTTCAGTCTCCTGGCAGATCTTTGATGAACATAACCACCCAATCAGCGTGCTGAATTTCTCCAACGTCATAAACAGACCAATCAAAGCCTACTGACTTGGAATCTAAATCTAGTTAAGCTATTTACTAGCTATGTGAGTTCCTTTTCTTTCTTGTGGTGAAACATAACACAAAATTTACCATTTTAACCACTTTTAAGTGTCAGTTCAGTGGCATTAAGTACATTCACATTATTGTACAAATCACCACTATCCATCTCTAGATCTGTTGGTATATAATTTTGAACAAGTCACTTTAATCTCTCCAGGCTTCATTTCCTCTATAAAATATGAATATTATTACTTACATCTGCAGACTATTTTAAGAATTAAATGAAATAATACATAAATATGCCTAAAACCCACAGAAGGTGTTCAATAAATGCTGACTTCTTTCCCTTTGAAGTAGATTTTCACATAGCCCCTGGTTTTACAATGGAAATCATCTACCATAATCAATTGACTAGAATTTTTAAAGGATATACAAAAATCTACATATTCTGGGCACATGATTGCCTTAGAATGGGGAAATTTATAAAATAGAAGTGGCCTATAATCTGTAGAATTGGGCAGTTTGAAATAAACAGTAGTCAATTACATTTTGTCGGGAAAATTACATTTGGAGCAGCAACAACCTTTTTGTTCCCATTATGTAGAAATTCTTGTATTGCCTATATTTAGATTGCATTTATAAGCAGTTTAAGTGTAATACAATAATCAATAACATTCATGAATGGTGCTTTCAACCTTGGGGCTGATCCACTTGCATTTAGTATTTGAATTCCATTTATGTACACATTATCTTTTAAGGAGAAGGTAAAATTGATAACTTGGGTTACATGCAGTAAATTGAAAAAGTTAGTTTAATTTCAGAATTAGACTAATTAGAACATGAATTTAGAGATCCTCATCTCCAACACCCTTCTCTCACAAAGAAATTAGTATCCAGAGAGACCTAGTAACTTGCCCACAAAACTAGAACCAGAGCCCAGATTCTAGGAGTGTGTCCTAGAATTGTTCACTTGACCTTGAAGACTGGGTAACATTTCAGCAGCATAGGTGATGGGAAGGGATTGCAGAGAAGCTGGGAGTATTCCAGGTAGAGGGATCAACAGAAGAAATTGCACAGAGCCTGGCTCTGAAACTGAGAGACTGATGATTGTGTTAAAGAAGTATCGGAGTGAGGAGGCTGGAAGGCAATTGAAGATGAGGTTTTGTGATGGGAGAAGAGATAGTCTTAGACTCTTGCAAACACAAAAGATCAGAATAGAGGGTTAGAGGTTTTGGGGGGGTTGTTTTTGTGGAACTTTGGGGGATTCGATTTTACAATTTTCAAGGCTCTTCCATATTTGTACTCTCATGAGATCACAGCAATCCTGAGAAGTAGGTATTTTGCTGATGATGGTCTAATACTCAGGAGGTCACATCTTTGCAAAGCTAAGATTTGAAGTCAGATGCTGAATACAAAGGCTGTATATTATAATTCTTTCTTATTAATATTTTAATTTTTTTTTAAGCAGAGTCTCACTATGTTACCCAGACTGTCTTTGAACTACTGGGCTCAAGTGATCCTCCCACCTTCGCCTCCCAAAGTGCTGGGATTCCAGACAGGCATGAGCCACCACACCCAGATGCATTGTTATTCTTGTTTTTTCTTTTTCTTTTTTTCTTTTTTTGAGATGGAGTCTCACTCTGTCACACAGGCTGGAGTCAGGTGGCACGATCTAGGCTTACTGAAACCTCTGCCTCCCAGGTTCAAGACATTCTCCTACCTCAGCCTCCTGAGTAGCTGGGATTACAGGCGTGCACCACCACGCCTGGCTAATTTTTGTATTTTTAGTAGAGATGGGTTTTCGCCATGTTGGCCAGGCTGGTCTCAAGCTCCTGACCTCTAGTGATCAACCTGCCTTGGCCTCCCAAAGTGCTGGGATTACAGGCGTGAGTCACCGTGCCTGGTCTGTATTGTCATTCTTAAAAGCATGAACTCTGGAGCCAGACCACTTGGGTTCAAATCTCTCCATCCCCATGTAGAAGCCATATGACCTTAAAAAAAAAATGGCTAAAACGTATAATGTTTATTATATACCAGGCAGTATTCTAAATACATATGTCACTCATTTAATCCAACAACCCTATGAAGGGTATTCTATTATTATCACCATTTTAAAGTCTCCCCCACTAAATGAAAAACAAATTTAGAGGAAGGAAAGAAGTAATGAAGAAGTGTCTCAGTAGAAAATCAGAGGAATGAGGACTCATTTGTTCCCTGGGTTCCCCGTTCCTTGATTTATAATATAATCTCAACTCCTTGGTATCCCCCTAGTTCCCTTCCCACTTGTGATTCTGTGGTAGGTTAGATTACTGTTCGTCCTCTCCTCACCTTCTTAGGAAGAGTCTACTTTCCTCCTCCTTAGAGCTTCATGCTTTGGCCAAGGAGATGTTAGCAGATATAACACTGAATCATAAAATGTTCTTCTACAGTTGGGCTTGCCCTTTTCTACTTCTGCCCTGAGAAGAGCTTCCCTTGGATAGCTCCTGCCCCTTCAGCCTGGAAATAAAGGTGATCACATGAGACACTTGCCCCAGTCATACCCCAGATTTCTCAATGCCTGAGTGACTGGAGCAACTGCCTCCAGTCCCACAGAATGTTGAAGAACAACCAGCCCATTTCAAGAAACTCTTTGGAGACTCATAGATAAGAATCTAAATCTATATGCACAGCACCAGCCTCTGAATTTCCTTTTTGGTTATGCTGGAAGCTGAACAAGATGATGGGACAGGAAAAGAACTAGAGCCTTACCTTCCACTGCTACTTAGACTATTTCCCCCATAGCAGGTAGTCTTTTGATTTAAAAAAATCAATTTTTTTTTTTTTTGGAGACAGTGTCTCGCTCTTGTTACCCCAGGCTGGAGTACAATGGCACAATCTCTGCTCACTGCAACCTCTGCCTCCCAGGTTCAAGCGATTCTCCTGCCTCAGGCTCCCGAGTACCTGGGATTACAGGCACACGCCATCATACCTGGCTAGTTTTTGTATTTTTAGTCGAGATAGAGTTTCACCATGTTGGCCAGGCTGGTCTCAAACTCCTGACCTCGTGATCCATCCGCCTCGGCCTCTCAAAGTGCTGGGATTACAGGCGTGAGCCACCACGCCCAGCCATAAAAAAACCAATCTCTTAAATAACAGGATTTTGAATTTTCCTCCCAACAAACCCATGGAAAAGAAAACAGACCAGAGCTGACTTAAATCTCTTAGCAGTCACCAGGAGTCAAGAAAGAGAACCTATATTCCATTTTCCTATCTCATGGACTGACTGTCAGCCCTTTAGTGAGCATATGTGGTTAGTCTTTTCCCCCAAAACTGGCTGTGCTGTAAGGGCATTTTAGTAGTGGAACTGCAGATCCTCTCATTCGGAAGTAACAAGATCACCATTCTGTCCATTCCAATCAGTACCTACAGTGAGAGAACTTTCATATACAATCTGGACATCTGGATAATGCAGAAACCAAAAATTTCCACCTAATGATGATAAACTTCACTGTTAGATTAATAATTAGCTTGCAAACCCAACAGTTATATTGGGTAATAGAGGTTCAATAGATGTGTTCTTTTAAATCTTGCATAAATCACTTCAATAAATTGAATCTCATGCTAAATGCACCAAAAGCCTATTTAAAGAAATGCCATGTTGAAATTTTTCATAAAGAAAGTAATCTGAAAGTAGAGCCTGAGATGAGGTTAAAAAAGAAAGAAAGGAAACAATCACACTCTTGTTTTTGTTACACTGGAAGTTTTATACACTGGGTGTTCCTAAACCATGGTATACCTGGGATACTTCCCCGACAAGGCAGCCTCTCTACAGGAGGGCACCCACATCCCAAAGACAACAATAATATTAAAATGCTTTATATCATTCTTTATTTTAAAAGTGCTTTACCAACATATACTAATCTTCACAACATTAAAGGGAGGTAGATAAGTATTACACCACTTTCACAGATGGAGGAACTGAGGCAGAGATTAGTAAGTTGTGTTGAGGGGCATAATATACGGCACAATTAGGAAAATAATTTGTTGCAGTCATGGATCACTGAAGACCTTTCCCATGATTTCTGAGTACCATCAACACAAAAAGCAGCAGATCCAGCATTGAAGCAGGTCATCAGTAGTTTGGCTAGTCAAGGCTAAATGTTACCTTGTTGATACCAGATGTTGAATATGCTGTCCTTTGGCAATCATCCCCCTCACATGCATTCTTACATGCTTCCACCTCTAAACAGGGGAGAGGGGAGGCGGTTGTGAGTGCAGAAGGAGGAGGCAGAGAAACAGGGCTGGGAAGGAAGATGACAGAAGAGAAAACATGAACTGATATAAAAGCAAGGGCAAGGACAAACAAGACGACCCTCTGGGAACCAGTCCAATAGAAAGGAAAGCCACAGCAGAAAAGAAGTGTCATTTCAAAAGCTCAGACATCCAGAAATGCTACTCAAAGGGTAATTCTTAGCAATGACATTCAAAGCCACTCCTCATTGCTTTGCCAACTATAATCATCAGGTCCTTCCGACATTCCCAGGAGGCAGAATCATTCCTTTCCCGTGGTCCAGTCCAAGTGCTGATGTAATTGATCTGACACTGCAGAGGCTGTTGACAACTCAAATGTACCCTCCCACCATGCCACCTCTCTTCCTCTGCATGTCTAGTCTCTTCAAAACAAAACAAAACAATGCATTTAATATTCTCACTGCAAAAATCCTAAGACATTTCTGGAGATTTTGATGCATAACAATGTAGGATTCCATGCATTAATTTTTATAAAAGGGACATGATGTGGATTAACAGCCCCTCTCAGCCAATGCTTGTTTATACAACAAGGAACATTTTTTTAAATTATGGATACCAACTGTCTAGAGAAAAATTGGAGCACAAGGGAAAGAAATAACTTCTCCTGATCTTTCTAGTGGGAAGCAAATATAAGAGATGGTGATTGACATCCCACCAGCTGCAATGGAGGTACTGATGGCAGAGGAAGCACCAAATGAGTAGATGACCAAGGACCCAGCAGGGAGGGTCTAAGTCAGATGAACAGGTGGAAGTGGCAGCCCAGAGAGCTGAAGAAGCAGAAGTCAGGGAAAAGACATAGTAGCCAAAGAGGAAATGCATAGAGGTGTTGGTGTTTGAGGTTGAGAGGGAGGCATAGCACTGATCTGTGTCTAGGCCTTCCTAGGACAGGTTGGAGCCAGAAATACATCCTTTCTTCATTTATTTCGATCAGCAGCATCATTCTTTCAGACATGTAGCTTTAAAATCTTATCCCTTCTCTCCAACAAACAAGGTCAACTGCCAAGCCTTACTGATTCCACTTTGGCAATGCCCTTCGCACTGGTCTCCCTCGTGGTTTTTTGGTTTTAGTTTTGTTTTGTTTTGTTTTTGAGACGGAGTTTCGCTCGTTACCCAGGCTGGAGTGCAATGGTGCGATCTTGGCTCACTGCAATCTCCACCTCCTGGGTTCAAGCGATTCTCTTGCCTCAGCCTACCAAGTAGCTAGGATTACAGGCACCCGCCACCACGTCCAGCTATTTTTTTGTATGTTTAGTAGAGACAGGGTTTCACCATGTTGGCCAGGCTGGTTGTGAACTCCTGACCTCAGGTGATCCAGCCGCCTCAGCCTCCCAATGTGCTGGGATTACAGGCGTGAGCCACTGCACCCGGCTATCTCTCTGGTTTTTACTGCAACCTCTTCTGGGTCCTGCTGTCATCTCATCCTAACCAGGGACAAACCCTCCTACCTGGTATCCCCTACTCCAGTCTTCTCTCCACTCAGTTCTTCTTCTACTTTTCTTCCTGTAGTACAGTTCTGATCATGTTACCGCCCAAACTCGGAAATTCCCCATGCTCTCACTCCCTCTCAATTATGTGTCTCATTATCTTGAATCTTCAACAGGACCTTGCATCTAGTGAAGTTCTTCTGTTTCCAAATCTCCACCTGCCAAAATGCCAACTCTGAAGACTTAGCTCCACTGCCATCTTCTTCATGAGGACTTCCTTCATGCTTCTTAGTTCTCTGCTGAGGTACAAACGCACTTTGAAGACATGCAGTGATCACGCACATGATAGCTGTGTACAACCCTTATATTCCCTACTGGGCTGTGTCCATGATTTGCCAAGGTGGGGGATGATTAACTGTGTCTTAATATTTACCTGTCTATCCCCTACAGCACCTACCAAGAAACGGTTATTGCATTTCTACCTCAGGTAAGAAACTGCTCAAAAGTGAAATGAATTGTGATATACTTGTGATATATAATTGTGATATACTCCAAAAATGGAGACACTGCAACAAGTACCCTGTAATGTGATCTGACTCAGGATAAAACCAATCCCATGATAGAGCTCAAGGAATGGGACAAGGGCAGGCAGTTTGGGCTATATATTTTGGAGTCAAGAAATCTGGGATTGAGGTTCTGCTTTGCCATTCGCTAGCCATGGGCTTGACACCAGGTAGTTATTCTTTGAGTGTCATTTCCTTCCTTCTGCATGGCCTCATGGGATGAAGAATAAAATGAGACACATTTGTGAATGCTGTATCAGTGATTCTCAATCCCAATTATGCATCATAATCTCCTGTAAAGCTTCTGAAAAATACAGAGGACAAGGCCCCAGCCCAGGTAAATTGAATCAGAATCCTCTGGAAGTGGGATGCAGTGGGACTAATTATTTATAAAATGCTGTTTCTAATGCATAGCCAAGGTTGGAAGCTACTGTTAGAAACTCATAAGTACCATTAACAGTAGAGCAAGGTGCTTTAGGCTGCTGGTTTATCCTTTATATGTAAAGTTAGGAATCAGTTCAATGCTTTTATAGTTCCATTAAAATACACTACTGTGTGCAAGCATTTTTTGTGTTCTTCTGCATTGTTGTGTGGTTAAGTTGTAAGTTCTGAGAGAATAATATCTAGCACCACTGTATGTAAAGATGTACTTAAGCCAAATTTCTGAGAAATAAAAACTTCATAGAGTCCTCTGAAACCTTGCTATTCAGAAGTGTGATAACCAGACAAGTATAACTGGCATAAACCAGGAACTTGTAAGAAATGTAGAATCTCAGACTCCACTCTGTACTCTCTGTATTAATGAGGTTCTTAGCTGTGTCAATAGGCAAAGCAAAGGCAATCTTTGCTCAGTTCACATGTGTGTTTAGGGTCTGCTGTTCCCTGTCCTAATCCTAAAAGGGTAGGAGGGCATGAAGCATCTGGTTCTGTCTTCCAGAAACCACTGAAGATTGGGACTTTATCCCGATGCTTCTTTCTCTAAAAGGGTCCATTTGGTAAAAACTAAATTAAGAACATAAATCCTTACAAAAGGATCTTTTCTCTCAAAGAAGACTAGTCTTCATAGGCTTTCTTCAAATAACCAGTTCCTTTGAGACATTGAAAATATAATTCAGTGTTAAAAATAAATTCATATCTGTTTTGTGTGCTATGCATAAATAGCAAGTATATGTGTACCTTACCAAACTTACGGTCCCCAGCCCCCAAATTCCAAAATTATGCAGGAGGGAAGCTTAGCCATTGCAGTAAACAATTTCTCCCTATTGACCCATGCTCTCCAGCTGATCATGATGTGGGCAATACCCATCCAAGACTATACAGACCACTCCATAGCCAAGAAGTTGTAACAGACTCGGAACATTATCTAGCCCAACTCCCTTGTTCTGTGGACAGGAAACACCACACCAAGGGTTAAAAGGAGTTACCCACATTCATACAGCAACTTGAGGGAGAGTTGAGCTTAGAATTCAGGCCCCGACTCCAAGGCCTGTATCACTTATGTGGACTCTGCCACGTATACTCCTCCTTCCCCACCACATGGCCTTGAACTCTCATTGTCGGAAACTGCTGATCTGCCTTGGTACTTAAGTGTCACTTTGCTGCTTCCAACTACTGCTGTCTCCAACTCCCAGGGCTGTTTTTAACAGGAGGCTACAGGAGAAGCTATACCATAGCTCAGTCAAAATATCCATTTATCAATCCATATTTCCGAATATGTTGGTAATGGGTTCTCAAAAGGCCCAATGCTAACTATGTAATGCCAGCTACAAAGCATTACTACTGGCTAGCACCATGAGCATGGCGAGGGAAGGGCCTTTCCTTTGGTAGCTAAAGACTAAAAGCAAGGGCAACCATCAACCCAGTAGTACAAAGCTGGGAGGAAACTACAGAGAGAAGACAAAAAGTGGAGCACAGCTGGGAAGGCAGCACCTTTAAAAAACATACACAGTGTGACTATAAAATTGCAAGTCTTTCCTTTTTTAATAAAACCCACATACCAGAATGTAGAAATCTAAACGAACATTTCTCCCTCAAAGTAGTTACATCCTTAGTTCCAAAAGAACTACCATTGCTGGAGAATTATTTAGAAAAGAAAAGGCCTTAAAAGGTGGTTTATGACCACATTAGAAAATACGCTTCTAAGCACTGGGCTGTTTAAAAACAGAAAATCCATACTCAGAGGATGATACTGAGAAAATTTAAAAAGTGTGGCAGCTCTCATGGAGGTTCCCTAAAGACCTCTAGCAAGTTTGAGCAACAGTATCACCACTGGAGAAACGTGTAGCCTCCCAGAACAGTCACTTTCGATGGGAGGGCATTCATTTGGATAGAAAAGTTCTGCTGTCTGTTTAAAAAGAAAACAAACAAACAAACAAAAAACAGCCACACTCCTTTATAGTCACACTTGCATTTGATTTAAAAAAAAAAAAACAACAACAACAACACTCACACATGGTTCTTGTATGAATTCTAATTAAGAGACATTACATTCAGAATTATAGCACTCATAGTGATAATTTTCAGAAGACTATAACAGCTTCTTTGCCACTTAAGGGGTACAGAGGGTGCAGCTGTTTACCTGAATGAATTCTTAAATAAGTGACTACTACCACTCTAATTTTCCTAGTTGTAGCTCTGTTACAGGTTACTGACCGCAAGTCCATGTTCCAAACATTCTTTGCCAACACAGATTAATTACAAGAGAGCCACCCCCAAAGTCTTAGGGTGAATTGGGAAAGGGCCGGTTAAATGAGGAAACAGGCCATTCCTTGGTAAAAGTTTGTAGTTTTCTTTCCCAATACATCTTCTTTTTATTGAGAACTTCCATTTTTATCCTGTGTTCCTCCTCTGCCATCTCACACTCTCGCTCTATCTGCTGGATTTTGGCCACATGCACCTCATTCATTTGTATCAGTTGCAGTTGTAAGATGGACATTTGTTGATGGTGTTCTTCCTCATGCATCTTTTTTAAAGCACCTTCCTGAGAGGTTTTGCTCCTGTAGTTTTTATTGGCTGTTATTCTGACAGCTGAACACGAGGGTTCAGGTTGAGAGGTCCCCTCACATACTGGAAAATGTATGAACTCTTTCTCATCATCGCACAGTTCTCTATTTGAAACAGCAAATGATTCTGAAAAACAGTAGCAGAAAACATATGTTCAAAGATTTTACAGGCAGAGAAAAAAACCAATCCTATTTCAAATGACAGGGTCCTTCATTACAGGATGTATCTAAAACCATGTCTGCTTTGGCCTTCATGTCTACGGGGACCCTAGCAACACCCGACTTTTTAAAAACCCACAAATCAAAAGCAATTTTTTCTTAAGAAATAATGACAAGGGGTTTTGTTAGGTTATTTCCTAGAACTTCGAAGTATAGGATCCGTTGTCAGAAACCATGCTTATCAAGAATCGGAGACCTTGTTATGTTGATATTCTAAACTGAAATGTGCCCAACTCTGATGAGCGTAGTACCACAATGCAAGGCCAGTGTGGATCTTCAAAGTAAGTTCTGTATCAGTCTGATCACCCTTTGCCAACTTCTCATTCAGCTATGAACACATATGTGTAATCTTTGCAAGAGTGCTATTGCTGTTTCCTGGTCACAGGTGTTAGCCCTTACCCTGGAGAGCCATCTTGTAAATGCTGTTCCTTGAAAGATGAGCCTACATTCCCTGGCTTAACTCCCTCACATACATTTTCCCTTTACTCTCCAGCACTGCCATCTGGGGAGTTTTCAATGTCCCTCTTATTCAACCTATCTCTGGTACTTGACTATCCTTGAAATTTCTTTCCTCCATTAGCTTTTGATCCATGACTCGCCTAATTTCTAAGACGCCTTCCTCTCTGATTGCTCCTTCTCAAGTCTTCTTGATGTACAGAGACTCTTGCTGTACTCACCTGTTACCTTTTCATATTCTCCTGGGGGTTCCCATCCGTGGCTCTGTTCTTAATCTACCCTAAGTAAACTCATAACCTGATGCTGACCTTCCTTTCTTGTCTGACTCTTCCAAATGCCCTGTGTACCTTTCAGTCCTACCACAAGCTACTCACATCCTTTATAAGGTCATGCTTTTTTTCATAATTCTGTTTCACTGTTCCTTCTGCTTAAAGTTAGGCTATCTGTCCCTCCACTTACTGTAGTCTCGCTTTTTTAACCTCCCCCCAACTCCTACTCATTCAAAACCAATGCTGCTTGCTCTGTGAAACCTCAGGTCTCTCCTTTATATGTACTCTTCTGTTACAGCACTTAACACACACTAGTATTGTATTGGCACCATGACATTCTCTTTTTTTAATCCTTGGGTACTAATTTTGTTTGGTACACAATGGATGCCTAGTAAATGTTTATTGGCTGAATCCCCGAATATAAAGCGAAGAGTATATGGATGCAAAAGGATACCATGTTTGGTAGGTGCTATGTTTGCCCTGATTTAATAGAGCAGTAACATCAGTGTCAATTAAGGGAGTTGCAATAAAGAAACCACTAACTCCACTAACCCATGGAGTCTTCTAGTTGTGACTCTAAGGCTTTCTTGAGAAGCTTGACATTTCCAATAATGAGAATCTTCTCCTTGGAGAAAAACAATGCCAATTTATTAACAGAGTTGATTACATTATTACGTCCACTCCATTATTCTGGAAGATGAGATGCTGGGAATGCAAACGGCTACTGGGGGAAACCTAATTCATAATACCCTGTTAATAAAAGGAAAATGGCTACTGTTTAATTATTCCACTCCAAGAGGTAAAGTAACAACCATAACTAGTCCGTAATTATGATTAAAGAAAAGGTAAAAATCTTACTTCTGGAAGAGAAGGTTTAAAAAAAAAAAAAAAAAGCACTTCTGTGCCATTCAGAAATAATGAAAATGTCTCTTGGAAATCTTTCCTGGAGACAGCTCTGGCCTCAAAGACAGCTCTTCCTTCATGCTCCCACTGCCTCCTGGGCCTACCTCTGGCAGAACACTTGTTAAAACTGGCAGTTTACCTCCCTTTCAAGTCTCTGAGAACTTTGAAGACAGAGATTGCTTCTGCTCATCCTCATGTAGAACCCGGCACAGGGCCTGGTATAGTGCTGGGCATGTAAGAAATGTGTAGGGATGAATTACCTGCAGTGGGTCACATACCTCCTAACACGCCCAACCACAGAGAGGGAACAGTGCTCTGTGTGGGTATCCAAGGCACAGGACAAAGGAATGGGAGAGGGTTAACACTGAGAATAGGGCCCTCAGGTGTGAGCTTCAACTGTAAAGAGCATTACCTCACCTGTTTCCTTTCTAGTTCTGGATCTAGAAAGGAAGACATTCTGGAAAATGTCTTCTTTAAAGACTGGACACATTAGACATTTTGTAGTACCTCTAGTCTCTTTTCTCTTTGATTTCATTCCATGGGATAGTTCTGGATACTCCTCTGAGTCCTTAAAGTTCATCCCCTCACAATGCTGCTGTCTCACCCAATTTCTTTAATTTCTTCTTCTTCTTCTTCCTCTTTTTTTTTTTGGTGAGATGGGGTCTCACTGTGTCACCCAGGCTGGAGTGCAGTGGCGCAATCTCAACTCACTGCAATCTCCAGCTTCCAGGCTCAAGTGACCCTCCCATTTCAGCCTCCAACTAGCTGGGACTACAGGCATGCACCACCAAGCCTGGTTAATTTTTTGCATTTTTTGGTAGAGACAGGGCTTCGCCAGGTTGCCCAGGCTGGTCTCAAACTCCTGAGTTCAAGTGATCTACCCGCCTTGGCTCCCAGAATGCTGGAATTATAGGCATGAGCCACTGCGCCGGCCTCTTCCAATTTCTAAATGTTCACTTTCATCTCAACAATTCCAGGCTTTAGAGACCTGATGATGACAGTGATGATGATGATGATGATGATAGCACCTACTGTTTTTTGAGCCGCTAACCAGGTCCTAGGCTAGCGCTTTATAGCATTACCTCATCTAATCCTTACCCTATGAGGGAGGTATTATTATAGAAAACCAAATATAATATCCAAGGTCACATGGCTAGTTGAAAGAACCAGGATTCTAATCTAAGTCTGTAGGACTCTAAAATCCAAACTCAATCACTACAATAATCAGCCTCCCACTCTTCCACTTGCTCAGCTGATCACTTACATATCTTAAAATGCAGCCTCCAAATTGTATCCACTATAAAACCATCTCTTATTAAGAATATGGGTATGTATCATGCATTTCGATCTCTAAATTTCTAGAGCTGTGAACATAAAAAGGCAGTATGTTTGTGTCTGGGAGCAGAAAAATGACTCTTCTTTAAAACCATTCTTTTTAGTTTAAATGTGTGCTAACATCCAAATTTTAAAGGAAAAAAAGCCAGGCCTCTTAAGAAGACTCTGGCAGAAGATGGGGCTTTAAACTAAAGAGGCCCGATGGTATAGTTAATTAACTTTCACACACATATTTGCTCCAATGAATAGAAACTACTGTTCAGATGTGAAGAATCCTCTCTCAATTGGAAAAAGACTAGCCTAGGAATGGCACTGTGCTGCAAATACCCACCATGTAATCTCTCTCAGAGGCAAAACAAAGCCACCTGAAGGAGAAAACAACTCAATCTTATGCCAAAAGGGTAGGAAAAAAAAAGGTTAGGAAATCCCAACAGCTTTCCTGGGACCAGGAAAGCCATGGGGATGTTCTTTCACTTGGACAACTGGAGTAAGTTTAATATCAGCAGGAAAAACCTACCATGACAGCAAAAGGATGGGAAGGAAACTATAAACAGGCCAAACCCCAGATACAGGAAATAAGGCTGCCTGGGAAAGTGGATAAATAAGATGAGTGGATGCATGTTATGGAGTATAACACATTAACTAAAAGAAAGAAACTAGACATTGCAATGAATTGATCTTTTTTTTTTTTAGACGAAGTCTGGCTCTGGCACCCAGGCTGGAGTGCAGTAGTGTAATATTGGCTCACTGCAATCTCCACCTCCAGGGTTCAAGCAATTCTCCTGTCTCAGCCTCCCAAGTAGCTGGGATTACAGGTGTGCGCCACCATGCCCGGCTAATTTTTGTAATTTTAGTAAAGATGGGAGTTTTGCCATGTTGGCCACGACGGTCTTGAACTCCTGACCTCTGGTGATCTGTCTGCCTTGGCCTCCCAAAGTGCTGGGATTACAGGCATGAACCGCTGTGCCCAGCCTAGGAACTGATCTTAAAAAGACTCTTCTAAGTGAAAAAAGCAGAGAAAATGGTATCTCTAGCACAAATTTAAATCTATATAAATTTAGAATAGATGCACACAAAACACATGTAAAAGAATATGTAAGCATGTTAGAATGATTCAGGTGCAGGAGAAGAGAATGAAAGAATGGAATAAAAATGGAGCAAACACCTAACTAACAAAAGAAAGGCTTTTCACAGACCAGTGAGGCTGGTGTGCCATGACTGGAAATGTAACTCAGCCCTCTGGTACCAGAGATCTCACCCCCAAAGATTAGGATTGAACAGTAATAATAATGGTATTTATTAAGAAATGTTCACAGTTATCAAGTATCACTTTATAGCATAGAATGTGAAATTAAATATAAATTATCCTAAGACATTTGGGTGCTACTCCAAAGCTAAGTTTTCTTAAATGTATTTGACTTTTGGTTATCCTAGCCTCCCAGCCACTCCTAGCAAATTTTGTTGGCTCCCTTAGTTGGTTCTGTACACAGTTTCCCTCAAAATAATGGAAGATAAGTGTCAAAGCCAAATTATCACACATCATAAAATCTGCAGGGTGTAAATTGTTTTAATATATTTAAAGAGGAGACATTGGGTTTTTTTGCAAATATTAATATATACCTAAGTGTTATACTTAAATTTTAAGACTAGTGTGTTGGAATACGATGGACATTTTCAGAAAGTCATTGACAAAGCTAAGTATATCCAAGGGACAGTGATCAAGATGACACAGTTGAAACTATCTCATACCAAAAAGTAGTTGCAGAGAGGCCTCTAGTGGAATACTACTAGAGTCCATCCTGTTTAACAGTTTTATCATAAATTCCAACAAATTTCTGAGTACCTAATTCTGTAACAGGTACCCTGTAAGGTGTTGGAACAGTTCTGTCCAACAGAAAGACAATATAAGCTATTTATATATAATTTAAAATATCCTCAGAGTAACATTAGAAAAGTAAAAAAAAAAGATGAAATTATTTTGGTAACGTATTTTTTAATCCGATATATCTAAAATATTATCGTTTCAACATGTAACAATATAAAAATTATTTAATGAGGTTTTTTTACATTTTTTGGTACTAAGTCTTCAAAATGTGGTGTGCGCAATTATAGCACATCCTAATGTGGTCTACCCACATTTCAAGTGCTTATGAGCCTCATGTGGCTTGTGACAACTGTATTAGACAGCACAGTGTTAGAAAGATCACACACACACACATTCCTTATGTCAAATACACAAGATGTAATGAGGGCCATAACTCTATAGCAGATTTTCCACCTTTTTCCCACCAACTCCCAGAAACAATGACTGACAATTCCAGGCTTCTTTTTCTTTTTTGAAAAAAAATTGAAATGCAAAATGAGTGAAATGAACTCAAAGTTGTTTTACTGTATAGAAAGAGTTCCAGTACCCTACCTATTAGTATTAACAGATTACCTTTGGACACACTAGGTTCTCCACCACCGTCCAGATAGGATCTGGACACAGGAGCAAGGAGCATTTGGCTATCTTTAATAATCACCAGCAAAAAGGGAAGTCCCCAGCATCATCTATATACAAACATCCAATTTAAAATAAATCCCTTTACACTTGAGTCACTATTAAACATCACTACAAGGAAAACACTGAGAATGTACCTTTATTCCCTTCTGCTGAAAATTTATAAATTATGTTTATGAGTAAATGAATTACATCATTTCTTCCAAAAGAAAGAGAAAAAAATTTGTGGGAAGAACTTTCCTAGATCCCACCCCAGAATTTGAAAAATAAGACTGTCCAGGCCCCCTAAGAATAACCCTATGAAATCAATACACAATAATCTGGATCACAGGTTTGCAAAATGAACAGAAAGCAGCTCACACCAGCATGGTCCTCAGCAGTATCTCCCAGGGAACATATGCAATATAAAGAGCAGCTCTGCTGATCCATTCCCTCCTCCCCCAGCACACTCCTCCACAGCCTCACAGAAGCTAAATGGCTCTGAAGCCAGCAAGATGGAGAGGAACAGAGAGTAACTGGCTAAAGCTATAAACATCTCCAAAACAAGGACACCATTAATTAGCAGTGCCAGTCCATGCACGACAGAAGCAGCAATGAGGAGGCATAAGAAAGAGAGCTGACAGTGCCCCCATAAACTGTCTGCTAGGAGGTACCCTGGCTTGGGAACTCAGGGATCAAAACCCAGACACAAGGTTCCTACACTGGAAATCGATGCATGAAGTTCATAACATAAACCACTATGGTTACCCAACTGGCTTCCTGGACTTAACCTTGGTCAAATGATCAGTAAGCAAACTTTTGATCACAATTTGCTTCTCCAGGATCGTCTGCCTACAGGACAGAAAAAAAGGTGCTAATCAAAAACATGTATTTGATTCACTTGGCAATTATCTTTTCCACTCTACACAGATAACATGCCTGGCTTTGGACTGCTTCTTGTTACTCTTAATTAACAGGAGCCAGTCCCTCCGAGCTCAGTCTACTCTGGAGACACTGACAAGTGAATTTCCCATCCTGCAAGCTGAGAACCCGACTATCCTGGGGAAGTGCTTGCTGGGTCCCTGAAACACCTTATGAACAACCCTCTGTCCCCCACCAGGAAACATCCTCTGCTTCAATGTCTGTTTTCAGAAAACTGCAGTAAATTTTTATATAAACTGGCCACTTCCTGTCTGAAAAGAAGCAGGAATTGCTGGAAATTTATCTGTGTGCATTTCCACCCTCCCCTTGCCTAGAGACATTTCAATAGTCCCTTAATTCCAACCTTCTGAAGCCATGACACACTATCACTGCATCCTTCATTGTATGACAGTGTTTTTTTCCCTAAGAATTACGTATGACATATTTTTCTCTTTTTAATGGAAGTATATTAAACTTAAAAGTTAATTTTTGGGGAGTTTTTCAAGATCCCCGGGGTGCCACAAACCAAAACTGTGGATCACAATAGTATAATGGCTAAAAATGCTGGCTTTTAATCTGGGTGAATGCTACAGGGCGTTCATCATATTAGTCTCCACACTTTTTTTAAAGTTTGAAATAGTTGTTTTTTTTTTTTTGACATGGAGTTTTGCTCTTGTTGCCTAGGCTGGAATGCAATGGCACTATCTTGGCTCACCACAACCTCCACCTCCCAGGTTCAAGCGATTCTCCTGCCTCAGCCTCCCAAGTAGCTGGGATTACAGGCATGCACCACCATGCTCAGTTAATTTTGTATTTTTAGTAGAGACGGGGTTTCTCCATGTTGGTCAAGCTGGTCTCAAACTCCCAACCTCAGGTGATCCGCCTGCCTCAGACTCCCAAAGTGCTGGGATTACAGGCGTGAGCCACAGCACCCAGCCAGTTGGCTCTTTTAATATGGCCTTTTGAGTGGCCTACTGCAATGCTTTGCAAATAATAAGGACCTCCAAAAATATTTTTTGAAAAAAGTGAAATGGAGTGGATGAATATAAATCTTCATAAAATTCTCTTTAACATATTTGAGATAGGTTGATAGGCAACTGCAGCACCTCACGAATGAGAACTCCATTAATGCAGTTCCTTATTTTTCTTTATGTTTAAGTAATAATAAAGTCTCGAAGAGAGTTAGCACAATGATGTAAACAAGTACTTTTGTTTTTAGATACTTTTTTTTTTTTTTTTTGAGACGGGGTCTCACTCTGTCACCCAGGCTGGAGTGCAGTGGTGCAGTTCACTGTAGCCGCCACCTCCCAGGCTCAAGTGATCCTGCAGTCTCAGCCTCCCAAGTATCTGGAATTACAGGTGCATGCTACCACACCCGGCTAATTTTTTCTATTTTTTGTAGAAATGGGGGTCTCACTTTGTTGCCCAGGGTGGTCTCAAATTCCTGGGCTCAAGCCATCCTCCTGCCTCAGCCTCCCAAAGTGCTGGGATTACAGGCGTGCCACTGCGCCCACCTCTATATGACTTTGAATGTCCTATATAAGCCTGAGATCTTGAATTAGGAAAAACGAGTTTGATACAAAAGTTTCATTTTCAGAAGTTCCCTCAAAATGGAGGATTTTAAAATTAAAATGTCAAACAGGTACCCAGTGAGAGCGTGCACACTGGCATCAGGAACGGATACCTTGGGCCGAGGCGTCGGGGTGGTATTCGGGCTCCTCCTCCGGGGGGCTCTGCAGGAAGTAGAGCTGCTCCGGCAGCATGCTGGCGATCTTCTCCTTCCCTAGGACGTGGGTACTCAGGAGAGGGCTGACGCTCCGTTTCACTTTCTCCCTCCTTTCATGGGCCATAATTTTTTTGGTCCGAGCCTTGATGTTCTCCCAGCACTTCTTCAGCTGTTTGAAATCCCGCAGGGACACGCTGGGCTGAGAGTTGTATTCGTGGGCCAGCGCCTGCCAGGTACGCTGCTTAAGGGCAATAGTTCGCGCATCGCTTTTCTTACATTCCAGCACATATTTATACTTTTCTACTAAAGCCAGCAGGATGCTCTTTTCCAATTCTGAGAAGTATTTGGCAGGCTTTATAATTTCGTTGTTTTGCATTTTCCACTATATTTCTCCTGGCCGCTAGCTATCCTGTAAAAGGAAGTTTGAAGCAATGATTACCAACTCCAGCAAAAACAATGCCTACGAATCACTGAAGCTTAATTCCTGACTTGATTCCCTTGTCTGAAATACAGTACTTTCTTTTTCATTCATGTTGAATTATGATATTCAGGACTCTGGAGAATATTTAGAAATGTACTAGGAATGGGGTTTTACTTCAAACTGGATTGCTAGCTATACTGTGACTATCTGGTATATAACAGCAAAAAAAGAAAAGTTGAACTTTTTTTTTTTTTTTTTTTGGAAATGGAGTCTCGCTCTTGTCGCCCAGGCTGGAGTGCAGTGGCATGATCTGAGCTCACAGCAACCTCCACCTCCTGGGTTCAGGCAATTCTCCTGCCTCAGCCTCCTGAATAGCTGGGATTACAGGCACCTGTCACCACGCCCAGCTAATTTTTTTTTTTTTTTTTTTTTTTTTTTTTTTTTTTAGTTTCGGTAGAGACAGGGTTTCACCATGTTGGCCAGGCTGGTCTCGAACTCCTGACCCTAAGTGATCTGCCCGCCTCGGCCTCCCAAAGTGCTGGGATTACAGGCGTGAGCCACCGTGCCCGGTCTAGACTCTGATGTCTTAATTGAGTTTTCTTTCATGTTAGGCAACTGATTTTTCCCCCAAATCATGTTAGCCAGTTTTAGAACTAAACAGCTTTCTAGAAGTTTTGTTACAGCTGAGGACAAGAGAAGCCACTGTGTAATCAAATATATAACATGATGTGGGAGGCCGAGGTGGGCGAATCACGAGCTCAGGAGTTCGAGACCAGCCTGACCAACCTGGTGAAACCCCATCTCTACTAAAAATACAAAAATTAGCTGGATGTGGTAGCATGTGCCTGTAATTCCAGCTACTCAGGAGGCTGAGGCAGGAGAATTGCTTGAACCCGGGAGGTGGAGGTTGCAGTGAGCCGAGATCATGCCATTGTAATCCAGCCTGGGCAACAGAGTGAGACTCCATCTCAAAAAAAAAAAAAAATATATATATATATATATATACACACACACACATATGATGTACAGCCAGGCACGGTGGCTCACACCTGTAATCCCAGCACTTTGGGAGGCTGAGGCAGGTAGACTGCTTGAGCCCAGGAGTTCGAAACTAGCATGGGCAACATGGCAAAACCCTGTCTCTACAAAAAAAAAAAAGAAAGAAAGAAAAAAAAAAAGTAAAAGAAGAAAAAAAAATTAGCCAGGTGTGGTGGTACGCACCTGTAATCCCAGCGCCCAGGAGGTCGAGGCTACAGTGAGCCATGTTCATACCACTGCACTCCAGCCTGGATGACAAAGGAGACACTGTCTCAAAAAAAATAAATAAATAAATGTTTTCGTCACTCTGTGGCATATACCTGAAGCAATGGCAACCTCAGTTTTTTCATCTTTAAAATGAGGGGTTGGAGTCTGTGATCCTTCAGGTATGAGGGCTACTTTTTAAAATCCTAAGTAAACAATGTATGTAATTTCAGATGTGAAAGGGCCTAGGCACTTAAGAGACTGAGTTCAATGTTCCTCTTTACATTCCTCAAGTCTCTTTCCCGCTGAGAGAAATAAGGGTCAGAAAGGTGAAGTGGATTGCACAAGATCACAAATATGGTGACACGGAAAGTCCAGAACTTGGACTGCCCTAGGAGTCTAGTATTCTTAGAATCATTCCACAACTGTCTCTCAGCCTCTTGCCTTGGGTCACTCCAAATGATTAAACCATGATTCCCATAAGTCACCTTGTCATCCTCCACAGTGCTGAGTCAGCATGTTTCACACAACAGGTGCTTAGTGAATGTCTTATTCCAATGAAGTGTATGAAACCTATGTGTGTTTTAGGACCACACACTTTCCCTACATCTTTTAATCACAGAAAGCTTCTTATAAAATTAACCTCTCAAATATGTTACGGCAAAAATGTAGCTAAGCAACACTGACTGCGGCAATAAAGAAAGCATTATCATTCCCCTTGTTGGAAAGGGCCAACGTATTCCCAGTCCTTCTTACATTCTCCAAGCCTCTGATTTCTCAGAGTAATAGGCATGCATCAAGATACCGATGAGGCAGTCCATTTAAAACTGACCAATCACATCAAAAAATTAGAACTGCACAGGCGTGGTGGCTCACGCCTGTAATCCCAACACTTTGGGAGGCTGAGGCGGGTGGATCACAAAGTCAGGAGATCGCAACCATCCTGGCTAACACAGTGAAACCCTGTCTCTACTAAAACTGCTACAAAAAAAGAAAGAAAATTAGGAACCATCTTGAAAAGAGTCCCACTAGCCGAAAATGGAATAATTTGAAATCAAAGGTCATAGGTACACAAGGATTCATTAAGTTATTTTCTCAACCTTTGTTATGTTTTTAAATTCCATAATAAAAAATTAGGCAGGGGAGGCTGTGACTTTTAAGTTTATGGTACATTAATTTTAAATCACATTATTTCAAGCCAGCTACTCACACACTATGCCTGGGAAGGAGTTTCTGTAGTTGTGAATGCCTGAAATCTGTTTGACTGAGGCTGGAGAGGACTGGGCCGGATCAGAGACCCTTCAAATTGAGGCCAAGGAGTGTGGGCTTTACATGAGGGTGACAGAACCTGATCAAGGTCTCTCACTACGCACTGCCTCATCCTAGAAGTTGTTATTAATAGAATGAAGTATGAGGGTAATCTGTGTCTCCAAATGCCAGGTACCCCGCTCTACATTCATACTGGATGCATCAGGTATCAGACACTGGGCGGTTCAGACACATGTCAAAGATGGTTTGGCCCTCATATCCTGAGCAAAGCTAAATAAGTGGACATTTATCTTTGGGGATGTGTCCCTATAATGCTAATTTCCCATGCTCATGTTTTGATCATGTTGCTCTAATATCCATACAATGATACCCAACCCAGGCTCTTTCTTCCTCAAAGGTCTCAAATTAATTTTTTACCTTCACCCATACTTTTATTCCCTATAAATCAATGTTCCCCAAACTGAAATTTATTAACATACACCCTGTACAATATCTCTCTTCTGTAGTATCTCTATCTGCCAAGATGTCTATGTCCAGCTTTACTTTCTGTAGTTTTTGTTATGAAATCAACAGGTACACAGCCTGTTCTTGAATTACACAGCTTACACAGCAGATTCTGATCCAATTCCCCATTCTCAATGCCTCTGCTCCAGGAGATGTCAATATGCCAACTTTCCCCACTCCTAAGAATTGCTGCTGTAAGGATTAAGAACTCTGATTCACAAATGAAAAAAGGATTACTACCTATTTTGTTGTTATATGTAATGCTATTTTACATATACATTATATATGTGTATACACACGCATACTTTCTGAATAAATCTCTTTTTTCTATTTTATTTCTTCAAGATAAATTCCTAGGACTGTTGCATCAAAAGATAAAAACACTTAAGACTTCTGTTACATCCCCAACTTGTCCTTGTAAAATGTTGCACCAATTACATTTCTATTAATGGCACATAAGCATGTCCATTTCCCTATTTTGTTTTTTTATTCTGTGCCAACTGTGGAGGTAAAAAAGTCACTTCATTGATTAATGATATATGAATTTCAGTTCTGAGGTAAGTAAGCCACACTCTCAACAAAGGTCTTGTGATCCTTAGTGGGACTGAAATTACATGGAATTAATTCCAAGCAATTTCACTTTTTCTCAAGATGTGTGCAGCACCTCTAGCTGCAACCAGGTGGTGGTGGACTTGTGGGGAGTCTAAATTTCACAAAGTTTCTTGCCTTATATGTGGCCAGTTGTGTCTCAGAGTAATAATGATAGCAATAATAGCAGATAACTTTTATTGAGCCTGTATTGTAGGTGTAACAAATGTTTAATATGCACAATATCATTTAACCCTCCCAAAAATAGCCTCTGAGAGCTATATATTGTATATACATGTGTAATATGTATATATACTATATATATACATGTGTAATATGTATATATGTATATACATGTGCATTTCTCCTGATACTTTATATATGTAAATATATATACATGCATATATATATAAAGTATCAGCAGAAATTATACGACTGCCTCAAAAGCAAATACTCAGAATTACCAACACCTGGGGACCATTAATAGCCTATTAACTAAACTGTTATTTAATCACTAGCTAAGTAAATCCAAAGTTACCAATTTACTTTGCTTAATTTTGTAGAACAGCAGGCCTCCTTGGGCCTTGTGGTTCATTCTGCCTGGCTATAAAGGGATTCTGATACAAGGCAATGTACCCCAAAGGTTCCTTACGGATTTTCAACAGCCTTGTGAAATAGGCTGTTTATCTCCCTTAACCAATTACTATTCCCATTTCCCAGATAAGAAAACTGTGGCTCAGTAACTTACTCTGGTCACACAAATAGTAAGTGGTCTGACTTACTCCAGTGCCCATGCTCCTCTCTGCTCTGCTTAGCTCTGTTGTTTCAGACCTAGTGATAGCCTCTATTCCCCTGCTCAAAGCATGGCCATTAACACTCTAATCATCAGCCAGGAAAGGGCCCAGGATAGGGCAATTTAGGTGGAGTGTGTCTCCATCTGTTGGCTGTTCCCCCACTCATCTCCCTCCCTCCATTACCTCCTCCTGATTTCAAACTTAGGGCCCATAATCCTCCCACGTGTACCTTCCTCACTCTAACCAGAGCTCTGATTTCTGCAGTTGAACCAGTAAGACTATGTTTGGGCCAGGCATGGGGGTTCATGCCTGTAATCCCAGCACTTTGGGAGGCTGAGGCAGGTGGATCACCTGAGGTCAGGGGCTTAAGACCAGCCTGGCCAATAAGGTGAAACTCCGTGTCTGCTAAAAATAAAAAAATTAGCCAGGTGTGGCAGCATGCACCCGTAATCCCAGCTACTCAGGAGGCTGAGGCAGGAGAATCACTTAAACCTGGGAAGCGGAGGTTGCAGTGAGCCAAGGTCAAGCCACTGCACTCCAGCCTGGGTAACAGAGTAAGACTCTGTCTCAAAAAAAAAAAAAAAAAAAAAAAGACTGTACGTTTGAAAGGTAACTGTGGAGATCTTTTGGAGCTTTAACATGGTCCATGCCTCAGGGGAATGCTGGCATTACACTTGAGCACATAAACAAATACTTCTCAAAGAGGTCTCTCCAGCAAAGCTTATTAATGCTTATTAATAGAAACTTTGAGGCTAGAAAGGATACTCTTGTTTAAAACTATTCAGCAATGTCCATAATTGGTTATAAATGACAACATAACAAGCCTTCTCTGCTGCATCAACTTTTATTAGGGATGGACTGGCCTTCCCTGTCCCCCAATTCTGCTCAGGAGCCATTATCTCTTCTGTCTGCTGTTCAGGTAGACAGTATACGATCCATTCTTACGCATGGTTGCAGGGCAACAAGCAGCCCAGTGACCCTCACAAAGTGGGCTCTCAGTAAACATTTTATAAATGCAGATATTTTGATATAGGCATAAAACAGGCCACCATGCACACAGTATCATACATGACAGAACAGTACACTAAAGGTTACATTGGCTGGGTAGGGTGGTGCCTGTAGTCCCAGCTTCTTGGGAGGCTGAGGCAGGGTGATCATTTGGGCCCAGGAGTCAGAGGCAATAGTGAGCTATGATTGTGCCTGTCAACAGTCACCCCACGTCAGCCTGTACAACATAGTGAGACCCCATCTCTTAATGGAAAAAAAAAGCTGCGTTAAAGTAGAAATGGTCAAATAAAATAGCAAAATTCAAATGCAATGGAAGTTCCCCTTGGACTAGGCAAAGACCCAGATAGGCCTAAATAAAAAGGCACCATTCCCATACCCATAGAAGAACAAGAAGGAAACAATTAGCACAATTTCCAAAACACTAACATTGACTAAACCAGCAAAATACTGTAATGCATACATTTAATATCCAACTTAAAACAAAAATTCATCTGTTTATGGACTGAATGTCTGTGTCCTCCCAAGATCCATATGTTGAAGCCCTAATTCCCTAGTGTTTGTATTTGGGGACTGGACATCTGAGGAAGCAACTAAGGTTAAATAAGGACATAAGTATGGGGCCCTGGTCCAGTGGGGTTAGTGCCTTGATAAGTAGAGACACCAGGAAGCTGGTGTGCCCCGTTATCCTCAATGGCTTATAAAGAGGAGGTCATGTAAGAACACAGCAAGATGGCACACAGCAAGATGGCCACCACCTACAAGCCATAAGAAGAGACCTCAGGATGAAACCTAACTTGCCAACACCTTGATCTTGGCATTCTCAGCCTCTAGAACTGTGAGAATCCAATTTCTGTTGTTTCAACCACACAATCTGTGGTATTTTATTATGGCAGCCTGAGA